CTATGACGAAAAATCGATAGCTACGGTGCGCGCTCTCATTGCCGTGGCGTGACAACTGCGCTCAAGCGCTTTTCTGTACTGTGACTCATCGTGGGAAAGACGCATTCCCGACATGATGAATGTGTGCAAATCCGTATTCTATGAAAAAAAATTCGTAAAAAGAACAATGTGAGGAGTTTTTACGTGGCAAAGTGACTTATAGACCATTCTGTATAAGGACTTCCAATGGGCCTGTCTGTGTGGCACGCGCGAGAACTATCTTACCGTTTTGGAGAAGACATTGTCGGCCTTTTGACATAAGGGCAAAAGTGTCCGACCGCTGTGTTATCAGCGGGTAGTCTTATTTTGATTTGACCGATTAACCGCTCATCGTAACTCGCTTATTGTTCTTTGCGATAGGCCCTATTTCAGCATTTCAATTGTGATACGTCTAAAGTACCAGACTGGCGCCCTTGATACCTCCATTAGGTAGTTGAAGCAATCCATCAGAAGAAAATTAAGAGTTTAAGAAATTGACAGATTGCCCTGTGATTCGGTCAATGCAATAAGTTCTATGATAAACAACACTAAACAAAACAAGCTGCGTTCTCTCTTTCTGTATTATTTGCCATAAGGAAGGCCTACATTTCATATTCTGATGTATGGACTAGGAAGAAGGCGTGTCAAGCACCAGATCAATCGACACGCCTCGTCCATGTAAATACCTGGATCGCGAACCTTCCCATATTCTGATGTTTTCAGTGTTTGGTTAACTGGTTACCTGGTGCTACCTAGGTGGCGCTATGTATTAGGCAATGTGTTTCTCCACATGTATTCTCTCTCTCTCTCTCTCTCTCTCTGATATTCAGGTTCCCGATTTGCCTCCGTGAATAGGGCGGTGGAGAATATGGTGAATGCGAACAAAAACTTTCCCGACTTTGTGGACATCAGGAGGCTGGTTGAAGATGTCCTTGTAAAGAATCAAAATGTCAAGATGAGGTGAGATTCTTCATCTAGCCTTTTACCCACGCTCTCTCTCTCCTCTGTTTCCTCCATTCTACATTATCATAGGTGATCGAAAAAATGTTTTTTTTTTCAACGTTTGCTCCACTCATCCAACATTTTATGCTTACGCTATATACTCCCTGCACATTGTGTGAGAGGTTATGATACTTGTGATCATGATAGTTTAGGACGTGGATGGTAATAAGGGCGCTGATAAGACGATGTCTTCTGTTTTTGAGGCTTCCACCAGTAGGAGTAGTGGTCGTTCCCACGTGGGGTTTATCAATTGCAGTGCAATTTATTTACCTCAGTTCGGTTCGGCTTTACAACGGGGAAGATAGGTTAACGCCTTCGAACCCCTACTGGTTACAAAAAACATGGTTGCACGCGAAATGCAGACATCCCCTGCAGGTCATAAATAGAGTAAACATAAAAGGCTACTCATTTATTTCTAGTAGTATAACTTTCTATATCCATTGATGTCTGTTTATGTGTGGCTGACAAGTGCGTGTCGCTTTTGGACGTAAATGAATCCAAACAGGTGAGGAGAATAACATCAGCGGGCAGTCTGGAACCACACTGTTGCAGATGAAGAACTTGCATCCACCGATCCTTCTTTTACCCTGAGGATGGCCGCGCAAAGCGGGCGTGTGAAAAACAATCGCTGGGAACAAAGCCACAGTCCAGGCCATTCATACTGCGGAAGGTTAATTTGAGAGCCCTCCCCCACCCCGTAGTCGCCTGTAGGAAAGGGAAAATGA